ACGCCATACATTTTACAGACATACATATATTACATTATACGTATTATGTGTGCGCATTTGAATGTGAAATTCCCACATTCGTGCGGCGGTTTCAAGTTATAAAGCCTTGCGGCGTGAAATATTCTATGTGAAAGAGTGATTTTCTGAATTTAAATTTAGACTTTTCTGCTTATGTAAATTTCATTATGTATGAAATATGGCATGGAAGGTAAATAAGAGAGGCTTTCTTCTTACAGCTTCTTCAGATTTCTTTGTGATTTGTTTTGTTTAACATACAATATTTAACAATTCAAATTGTATTTATTCTTATTCGATTATGATTATTTATTTATACATCCATTTTGTTGGTCGGTCTTTGCCAACTTTTAGTAAATAGAAAAATTCGACTTTCGAATGACTCTATGTCTTATATGGAGCATCAATCAATTTCCAATCGGCTTCCGATAATTTTTGACATCGCCTCAAAGGGGTCCTATTTTTTTTATTCAAATTCATTAGTAGACATTCTTATCAACTTCATCAGCTAATTGAAAGCAGATAAAAGTCATAAATATAGAATAATCTTCGGCTATGCTTTTCGATTATGGGCGCACAAATTCTTCTTCTTCCTTACATCCGAAGACACCGTAGACAACGCATAAGCGATTATCTGAGTTAACAACAGTGCGCAGCTTATTCCTTCCTTTCGTTGCTTGCCGCCAATTGGTAATACCAAGTGTATGCAGTTCTTTCTTGGTGGGTTTCATCTTCCTCGTTTCCCTCCGGCGGCAGAATCATTATTTACAGTTCCTATTTCAAACAACTTCATTAAATTTTGCATATTTCTGGGAGATGCTTTTGTTTCCATCTTCTTCTAGGGGTTTGAAGTTCTACATATAGAGATTTTGCCAAGAAAACACCTGGTAAAATTTTCTGAGGAATAATTTTCCAAAATATTTAGCCCTCTAACGACCCCCCAAGCTTATTTTTTACAGGGAATTCTCGAAGTACTTCTTGAAAATACCTTATTGGGTGAGGGCTAACGGGTTAAAATGGTCTTCAGGACATGAAATCTTTAGTTATGACTTCCCAAAATTAGAGCTCATTAAGTGTCTTTTTGTGGATGGTTTATAAAGGGTGCTTCCTTTAGACATATGTTAAAAAAGATAGTTTAATGTTTTAAATTAACATAAAGATAAGCGCTTGCCGTTATGTTTTAAAAATGTTTTCGAGCAAGTGACTACCGTGACTAGTTCGAATAAATTCCTGCCGAGTTCCGACCACTGTTTGCAGTAGTACAGACATACAGACTCCCACCAACAATAACTCGCCGAATATTCTCCTACAAGTCTTCAACCGTCTCCTGGTTGCCTGCGCAGCCATGCGGCCCTCGTTGTGAAAAAAATGGGCTTACCAAAAACTTTCTCAATACCTTCATTGACTGTGTGGTATGTAGCGCCACTCTTGTTGGAACGAAAGGTCGTACATACCAACATTCTTCAATTCACTCCTTTAATAGCATTCTCCTGTTACATTATGGACCGTCTTCAGTTTTGGTGAAGTATGATTCCTTTAAGCCATACAGCACACCTAACCGTGACTTTTTGAGTATGTAAAGGCGTCTCAACAATGGCTTGTGGATTACAATCACTCCGAATATGGCAATTTTATTTACTATTATACTTGTAAATATCTGAATCGGCTGCCTACTCGTTTTGGACCTACTTACCGAACTTGCGATGTAACTGGTGGTAGTTCGGCTTTAATTCGGCTCATTAGGCACTAGTTTAATTTTATAAACTCGCTAATCAACATCCTCGATACTCTGCTCCAAACAATCTGAATATCCGCATTACCCATTAGAGTAAATATTTGACGCAACCCGCAAGCCGAACCATTATTACGGTAACAAATTTGCCCGATTTGCAAACGTTGTTCCGGAGTAGGTCAGCTCATTATGAAACGGCAAGTCCAACTTAGTATAAATCAAAGAACAGCTGTCAAAAGCAAAAGCTCTGGAGAAAGTATTGTCTCATTGAAAACTAAACGCCTTATAAAAAGCACCCTTTCTTAACAAAATCTGCTCAGGTTTAGGTTGTATTAAATTTTAGTGAACAAGTTTTTTTGTTAGCTCATTTTCATTATCATTGCGTGGCCTTAACTGAATGCGAAAAGGATTTGTTAACTTTTCAAAAAATAGCAACAACAATATAAATATATAAAAGGCTTCGAATAATAAGTAGTTGAGGACCCACTAACTATCTACAGGAAATAAGGTCACTGATTGCCGCAGCTAAGTTTATAAAATTTTAATACTTCGTTGGACTCATATAATTATGTGTACATACATACATACTTAATTTGTTCGACAAATTTCAATTAAAGATTTGCGCACACGCACACTTTGGCCGCTTTGTTGGGGGCTGGGGGGACATATGGAAATGCTATAAAAATGCCTATGTAGTCATAAATCATTCCGTCATTACTCGGCCAATGAGGATATTGCTAAACTTCTCTATTAATTTCTTCATGCCTCTACACACACAATCATGTATATATACGCACATATCCATTTAAGAATATATTTCTAAACCCTTGCAATGCAACACATTGGAAAATGAGAATACCAATAAAATCCCAATAAATACCAGCACGAAAAAGCCCGTCAATTATTTATGGCATATCAAAGCAGTATAAAAGCCATACAAACTTACATATATATATTCATATTTATAACCGCCAACATTGTCTTGGCATAAATATAAATACAACACATACATATTTATTGCATGCAAACTAAACTAAAAATCTCACAAGCGTACACACAAACACACAAACGGGAACATATTTTATTTTTCAAAATTTAATATGGAATTTAAGAAACTTTTAAATAACTCCCCAACACCGTAGGGAACATTTCCTTTGGCCGAACTTTGCTTTGAAAAATGCCATTGCATACTTTCAGGCACACGTTTGTTGAATTTAAAACCATTTCCTCTGCATAGAGTTCATTCGAAATTTTCAACACACAACACAACAGCGACTCACTCAAATATCCCCTGAGACACGATTTTATTAACGGCATAATTGTTGAACTGTTATGTGTGCGTGCTTGCAATGACTAACTATTGCATGTGCGCTTAATTTCACGATATTTAAATGCCATCGATCTAAATCGCCATACTGACAGGCTGGCAGTGGCATGATAAGGACATTGAATAATAACGAGCAATGGGACTTGTAGGTCTCACACATTATCATTTTTCACTGTTATATATATGTTGTAAATAAGTATATGCACATATATAGCCGCTAAAGCGATTTTCCTTTTAGTTACTTAAAAAAAAAATACGTTGCCTACATTTAGGATGTGTGAAGAGAAAGTATGAACTTGCGAAACACATTACGAAATCTAATTAAAAATCAGTAAAAAATTATGGTTGCAATGAGTATAGATGTGTAAAAATAATTTTAAAAAATCGAATCGCTGTAAGGAACAGAACTTTTTAGCTTTCAGTATTCTAACTCAAAGAAAAGAAAAACAAAAAAGTACAGAGGGAAACGTCCAAAGTTCGTCTAATCCATATGAATTTATGGGATTCTTTGTATGTAAAAACATATCCTTACCCTATACATTTATTTATGTATTAACTATTGAGGTTGCTCATGAACCACGTGCTCACATTTTAGGCCTTTCGGAATCACTCCATAATGAAAGGAGATGTAGCTTAAGAACCCCTTCCTTACCGGCTCTATGGAATGTGGTTTTATTTCCCACTTTTTTTCGTTTTCTACAATATTTTTTTTTAAATAAAAATTAAAACGTACTTTTCTAATATATCATACGATATCATAATTATTTATTATCTGTTAATAAATGTTTTTTAGGTACGATTTAGGTACACTAAACATTTGTTTCATGATAAGAAAATTACATAGCTTTGAACTCACCTTCTCCCTCCGGTGACTATAGTATATATATAGTGTAACATACCTTCCCGCCTTTTCCAGGGTCAATGAGACCCAACGTGTTTAAACTACAGGGTTGGTAAACAAGGAACAAGACAAGCTAAAACAGCAATAACAATCTTAGTAATTTTTTTCCTCACGCTTTTAAAACCCTGATATGGATACGTAGTTTTTTACAGTTCTTCGAACATTTATTTAAGCAATATATGTCTGTATATATATTAAGTATTCCGGTACCCGCCTTCCACTAATAGTTGTTATATTGAACTGATCACATAGGATTTGTATAATACTAATAGCTGATACTCCAATTAATAAGAAAATTATATTTTTTTCTATCTCGATGAGTGGACATTACCGACTCCCATTTCGCGTCTCTATTCCTTTGTTTTATAAATTATTAAGACACAATGATAAACAAATATTTTAAGGATAGAAGCAGTGATGATGCTTCTCATTTCAATCTTAGCTCTTTCACGGCCTCAACATATAAAAAGAAAAAAATTTGATAGGTATTTTTAAACAAAGGTCTTTAACATGAATTAAATTTGATTTCCGAATTTCGCTGAATGAGCAAACAAAAAGGAAATAAGAGGCTGGTTTAATTTCCAATGAGATTTCAAGGCCTCAGGCAGGTGATAAGCCTTTGATTATGGGCAGTTGCAGTAGAACTTCATCTTGCAGCGAAACGTCAAACTATCACTCCGGCGTATACATTTTAAAGAAGCATATTTTTGCCTTCTTAATTTTTGTTTTGCATTCGCAAAGAAACTATTTTCGATTTTACCTTACAGACGTGACTATTTTCTAGTAAATTAACTTACACAATTTGTACACAAATCATTGCATCAATTGACAGAAATATACTATTGTGAATAGCACAGAATAGCGAAACTCACAATTGTGCTGTACTTCATCGAACATTAAAACAATAGCGCACCACTTTCGGCTATTTTGGCTTTGTTTGCTTCAAAAAAATAAAGCTATTTGAAATATTAAATAAAAGTAAAATATGAGTACATATATATATATAAACTGAAAATGCTGCTTACCTTCGCTTTATAAACGACAGCCGAGGTAAATCAGTCACGCTTAAACTTAAACCAAATTACTTAAAAAAATTTATTTCACACACAAGTTAAGCAACACGTGGCGTCTAATGCAAACTTTTATGCTCAAACAATAGTTTAGGGGTCGCACTTTTTATGTGCGCTTAAAAAATTGCATGCGATACACAAAAGGGGAATTATAATTTATACGAAATATTTTTTTATAATTTTTTTTACTTTTTTACTCTGTTTATTGAAACACTGTTTACTAACAGGTTTACTTAACACAATACAAACCGAACATATTTTGCATCTTTCAAAAAGACACACTTCCTGAAGTGTACATCCGTTCGGCTAATAACGCCGGTTGTACGCACGTTTATATCCGGTTATGTGACTTTGGGTTAAACATCATGTGTGTATATACACAGATTTACATATATGTATATATGGTTGTAGGTGTGAAGGTATTTAATTTTTGTTTTCTTTTTTTTTTTTGTGATTTTTGTATATAATAAATTTGAATTCAACACATAAAAAGGAGCGAGTATCTTGTGAGTATAATTTCAAACGCTTCAACGAATGAACTACAGAAATAAGTGTGGTGAAAAGGACATGCGCACATATACAAACACAAGCAACAACATTAACAGCGTAAGTTTAAAGAGTAACGAATCAGATGGAGTAAGCGAACATACACGCGGCACAACTCAAAAAATGCTTATTTTTTTACTTTTTGAAACACACACACACGCGCACACGCGTTTATTGCATTAAGTATGGAAAAGAAAAGCGTTGAAGTGGAAAGCCACAGACGTTAAAGCGGTGCTGGAACCGGTCGCAGACCGACGACGTGCACAAGCAAACGGTTACGAGGAACGGCACGCGGCTTGAGCAGCCAAATTCGAAAGTGGTAGCTGAAAGCAGTACAAGCACGTTAAGTTCGAATTGAAGGTGTACTTCTAAACAGCACTGGAATTGCTAGTTGGCGGGGTATCGCACGTACGCATGGTAGGCGGCAGCCGCCACATTTGTTCTTTTTCTTTCTTTCTTGTTTAAGCAAATTCTGTAACGGCTGCTACAAAGTCACGACAACAGCGACTCACTAACTGTTTTAAGGTGTTAAAATACAGCAAGCGGTTGTGTTGGCGGGGGTGGAGGCGGAGGCGGAAGGTTGCCACAAACACATGTCTAGTTGGTTGATTATATTACATATAAAATTATGCGCACAAACACATTAGGGTTCCAACGTTCTTTTCTTTACACATGAATACTACGGTTAATTAAATTTTATTTGCTAAACCAAAAATACTTTCACTCAATTTTTACTTTTCTTGTCGTCGTTCTCGAAATTTTGTACTCGCTGCTGCGTCTGTAAGTGCGCGTTTGTAGGTATTGAATTTGCAAACGCAATCTTTTTTCTTATTCTTACTTTTCTGTTGATTTTTTTTTTTTGCGCACGTCGCTTGTCTAGTTGTTGCTTAGGAATTTCATACAACGCCTATAAGTATGCACGCACATTTTTTATACACGCACTTACTGCATTGTAGAACACTAAACCATTTAATGCATAAATATTTTTTTCATTGCAAATATTCGCCTAAGACTTTCTAATATTTCAATTTACAAAAATTTTCCACTTTTCTCATTTGATTTTTTCTTTTAGTTTTTTTTATCAAATTTTACCGCTGCACCGCCTGTGTATACCAGCGACGACCGTACGCACGTATATCCTTTACTCAACTGAGACATTGAGTATTGTGCCTATAGAATTTTGTGCACCACCACCAACTGTGGGAGACCAAAAGCAACGAGTATGCGAGCTTTTACAATTTCGAAATACTCAAAAAAAAAAACCCCTCTCTTGAGCTACGTGTTAAGTACAGTTGATAAAAGGGAGGATTCGATAGCAGCTGGTAAAGTTTTGAATGGATGAAGAGCTTTTTCGTTTCGTAGCACGCTGCGTTTCGCACAATGTTGCATGCAACACGTTAAAATAAATTTAAATAATAAAATAAAAATGATAAAACATAATAAAACAAAGTTAAAAACAATAATATTATTTTATATGATGCGATTTTCGGCCGAGCTCCTGCTTCTAAGCTTTTGTCATTGCTAAATAAAATAAATTTAAATGAAAATTCATTCGAAAACTGAAGTGAATTTGGATAAAATAAAAAAAATAAAATATAATGCAAAAACAAAATAAACACTAACAAAGGACAGTATAAAATAAGAACAATAAAATAGAGCGCGTGAAAATATAGAATATAAAAACAAATTAAAAAATTATATTTAAAATCTGAAAAAAAACAAAAAAAAATTATAAAATGAAATAAAGTATAGTAAAAAAATATAATATTCAAAAATAATTAAAAATAAAATGAATTTAATCAAGATGACAAAAAAAATTAAACAAAAATAAAAATAAGTTGAATTAAAAATAAAAATAAAACAAAATAGCACAAATTTAAAGAAATAACTAAAGTTAAAAAAAATCAAAGTAAGTTGAGTTACTAAAAAAAAATATGTATAATAGAATAATAAAATGAAATAAATAAAAATTGAAATAAAATAAAATAAAAACTAAAAGAAACTAAGCCAAAGAGAAGGAAGAAGATTAACTTAAATAAGAAATCAATTGAAATAAAATAACATAAAAAGACTAAAGTAAACTCAGATATAAAACAATAAAAAATATATGTATATTGTAGATTGGAGAAATAAAAAATAAAACAATATAAGCTAAAATAATTTCAATAAATAAAACAGAAATGAATTTGAAAAGAAAATAGAATAGAATATAACAAGAAAATAGAATCAAGCAAAGTATTATATAATATAAAAGGTAAAACATATAAAAAAATTTATTCTATCGCATTTTATGATTAAATGTTAATTAATCAGTTGAATGTATATGCCCAGATACATACATATAATACAGCCGTCCGATTTTTGATGGTAATATTTGTTTGTATAGACCAAATATCAGACTTTTAGATGCCCTTTGACGTTTTTTTTTACCCAAAACCTCATATCTGAACGAAAGATTTCGAAATTTCATACATATCCGCTGTATGAAGGCTATATAGTCTCTTTATAGTATCTCAAAAGCTAAGGAAAGTTGCGTACAAACAGGCGGACAAGTGGATATGGCTAAATCAGCTTATCCCGTTGTTCTGGTCCTAACTCTACTCTTTCTGGTATTTACATGCATATTTCGGACTAAAGTTAATATGCCATTTCATGTATCTGAAATAAAAATAATAAAAGTTGCAGCGTATTTTTTTAATCTACATAACTTTTATTGTTTGAATGCAGTATAATTTGTATTTATTATTTTTTTTTTCTTTCATATAGTTGTATTTTCATAATACATAACTAATAATCAACGTCATTTAACTAGATAAATATCAACTAAGAATATGTTTGTTTGTAAGAGTTTACAATTATTTACATATTGCATGAAATTGTCAAATTTAAACATTTTTTTCTTTCAATGATTGTATTACGTACTTTAAACTTAGTTTCTCTATATTAGCATGCCAATAATTCTTACAAAACCTACATAATGAGCACGGTTGCACTAAGTGCTCAATTTGTTTATGAAATACTTATTCATGCATACTCAATATGCATATAATTATAATCAAAGAGAAAAATATATCACTTTTGTCTTCTAACGCCGCTCTATTATCTACAAACACTATTACATATCAGTGCTTAACATTTCGCCAAGCAACCACCAACCTCAGAAGGTTGGATGGTTTCGTATGAAGAAGACATCATATTCCTTTTCAATCCATTTAATCAATTTGTCGACATTTTTAATCACTGCACATTTATCAACCAACGGCTCAAATACCGCATATAACTCGTAAGCCGCCGTTACCCAGGCGAGCACCACTTCACGTTCGTGTACTTCGTAAATCAATTTCAACGGACGCGTACTGTTATGTATGCGATGCAATAAATCACAATAGATGCCCTCCAAACGTTCAAACTCTTTTAGTGTTGTATATGGTGGCATTAACTCGGAGCAGAGTAGTTGCGCTGCCGTTTTTGGTTTATACAGGAAGTGCCGTAGTTCTGGTATGCCAATAGCTGTTAAATTTAAGCCGCCATTTGTGGGTTTCTCAATTTCCCTACTAATCGCTTCGAGACTTTTTGTTGAGCGCAGCTTATCGGTTATGCGTCGCTTAGCATCGGATAGTGTGAAGAACACGTTAGGATCGACGGAGAGCAGCAAAAGGCACGCTTGGCAATCATCTGTTAGGTATGAAACATGCGCATACAAATAGCCATTCATATCGAATTTCGGCAGACATATAGGTGTCCAATTTTCCGAAGACTTAAACGATTCTGAGCACTCGATGAGGTTAAATATCAGCCTGATGGTAAAAAGCGTAAGAATATTTGGTTGAAAAATATTAACTGGCATAAAATGTGTTTACCTTAAGTCAGCTGGATGGATGGAATATTTCTTCATACGTATAAGTGATATTAATTTATTATTAGCTATGAGCACAGCGAAAACTAAATCTTTAATTTTTGAGCAATTACTTTGTATGCCACTAACAATACTTGCACGCACCGTTGTCGGCAGAGGCAGTACGCGTATAGAGTTTGTTAGGAAGGTGAATACGTTGTTGGTCACTATTGAGTGTGAAAGATGTATGCCATTGAGGTTTTATTCAAATATGCTTTAAACAAATGTTCGCTTACCTCGCTTATTACTGCTATCATTTGAGAGCAAATGATATATTAGTCGTTCACTACCTGCTAACGAACGACGCAGATCAAAATTTTTACGCTTTTCAAATATACGTGTAACATGTTTGTTAGTGAGCGTGGACAAAATTTGATTGTAGACATCGCTAAAAACGTATATATGTACATACAAAATTTTTAAAATTTATTTTGAATGTGTGGTTATAAACTCCTCTACTCACCTCAGCTGTAATTGCAGCTGCGCCACACTCATATTTGTACGCGAAGCTGCCACCAGTATTAGCGTATTACGCACCAGGAAAACAAATTTTATGCCACCCGCATGTATGGACGTTATAGCATCCTGCCCATGTTGCACGAAGCTAACCAATGCTTGGATAACTCCAAAGAGAGTCGCTAATTTGTCTTCATTGCCGTGTAGTGAATATATGGGCTTCCCCGCTTCACTCAAGATAAAAATATGCTTCTTTTGTCCACGCCATACACTATCATGCATATAATCAAATTGTGCATCATCATCATCACCTTCATCTAATGTCGCAGCTGATAATGAGTTAACAATTTCGCCCGATACCGTACTGGTGCTGTTGCTTATGGGTAGGGATTCCGCAGATACAGATTTGTGTACATTAGTAGATGTATTGGCGTTTTTACCATTTATACCATTCGATGCATTTTGTGTTCCTGGCGTTAGGCCTTCGCGTATTTCGCTTATGACACTGTGGGCAATCTCGTTGTGTTCACGCTCTGTATCGTGGAAATATTCGTTTTCATCTATGTGAGGTTCACATTCAGCATCAGAGTATTCCGAGTTCGACTGCATGGACGCTGAATCCGAATAATTCGTGGGTGGTTCCACATCCATTTTTATTTATTTGTTTATTTGTTGTCAACAGCCTCGGTAAGCAACGATCGTTCCATAAAATGTTCTGCAAATATTGATTTGCAATTTAATTAAACACCTTTACAATATTTTTACATAATAAACATACCAAATATTGTTTACAAATTGATTTTCTTAAATTTTTCGACTTTGTTTTGCTGCATAATTATAAAATGAATGGCACTACAAAGGAAACTTCTTAATCGGCGATCATTCACAATGGTTAGACATTTTTTTATTATATATAATTTTTAAAAATAAAAAAAGGGCTTTAGTTTTATCAAAGAACGTATATTAATAATAGTATTATAAATAGGTTATCAGGAAGTGATATTTATTAAAATTAAGACAGTATTTAGCAACTGAATTAATTCTTTAATGCATTCTTGATGCTTTCTGGCATCACAAGAAAGGATCAGCTGTTCTAATGTCAGTGCGGCGGTGTGATTGATGGTAAATTGGGTTATATATAAACCAGATGTAAAGATGTTACAAAACTCTTTAAAATCAGGTAAAATTAAGTATTCTGTGTTAAATACTTCTTAACATGATAAATTTTCGTTAAAGCGGCCAGACTTTTCAAGTACCAAAATGCTTGCGTCATTCCTCAACGCCTTCAACAGACACAAGCCGCTGAAACCACACCTAAGCCAGAGCCTGAAGACATTGCTGTCATTGAGGAACGTATATTGAAGAACCGCGACTATTTTCAAGTACACAATCTTTTCACTGTTCGAGATCTTTTCAATGCTCGTGTTCACTATGGACACAAAGAGGGTTCGCTAGACGCTCGTATGCGTCCGTATATATACGGCAGCCGCTTGGGACACTTAATATTTGATTTGGATGTGACGGCTTCACACCTACGTGATGCTCTAAATATAGCGGCGCATATAGCTTTTCGTGATGGTATTATCTTATTCTTTAATCGAAACGCTCTCAATGCACATCTAGTGGAGAAAAAAGCAATGGAGGCTGGTGAATTTTCGCACACACGCTTCTGGCGCGGTGGCATCTTCACTAATGCTAACGTACAGTTTGGCGCTGTGACCCGTTTACCAGATTTGTGCATCTTTCTAAATACACAAAATAACATATTGACGCAACACGTAGCAGTGCGTGATGCAGCAAAAATGGCCATACCTACAATTGGTATTGTTGATACTAACTGCAATCCAAACTTAATTACGTATCCCGTGCCTGGAAATGATGATTCGCCAGCTGCGGTAGAACTGTATTGTAACCTCTTTAAAGCAGCAATATTGCTTGGCAAAGAAAAAAGACGAGAACTACTAGGAGAAACTGTCGAAAGTAATAGTGCTAACACGGAGGCGAAATCACAGCAACTAAACCAAACCGAATAGAAAACTACTGTATATTATCAATACGTGTGTAGAAATTGTTTTGAAGAGGAATAAAATTTATAGATGTTGTGTTTCACAATGTTTGATACATATTTATTTCCTTTTTGAAGAATAGCAAAATTTAGATTTATAGGATAAGCATCATATATTATATATATTGTTAATACGCATGTCTAAATTTGAAAAGGTATTGCATCGTGTCCTGCTGCCGGATTCCAAAAACAACTAGAGGCATTGTCTCCCCCCAGTGGAGGACAATAATACTGATTTATGCCATCATTCGTGTTGTCTTTGTTCCATGCATCTTTTATTGTACTCCAGCTTGCAGAGTGCTGATATAGATTTGAAGTTGTTGATCCGTCAGTTTTACTGGCTTTTTCGATTTGTAAACTCTTCTCCAACCTATTTGATCTATCCATCATTCGAGCGTTTAACAAAGCCTTATGGGCATTAATGTATTCCACTGCCCGGTCAAGGCGGCTACGATCTTTTTCATCTAATTCGTCTAAGGATTTTTTACCTAGACGTTGCACCACTCTTTTAGCATTCGCAAATTCACGATGTTTAAATGGTTTCATTGCTTGACGATATTCGCGCCATAAGCGTTGTTTTTCTTCCCGAGCTTCAGGCGTGGTGGCGTGAATGGGTGGCGGTGCTTGCGGTTTTACCATCCAATTGGATTTATTTTTATCATTTCTACTCATTAAATTTCGGGGCCTTTCGATATAAATTTGGGGCTGTGTTGTGCTACTTTGTAACGGCTTTGCGTTTTCCTCTGCTGCAGTATTACTATTTGTTTTTTGGGATACCCGGTTAACTGCAGTAGTTTGACCAGATTTAGGTTTAAACCGAGCCGACGAGCGCTTGTCTTGATTTAATTTGTGGTTGCGATTGACTTGATGGTTTAAACGAGGCATCCTGGGCATTGGTGGAAGCATTGGCTGCATTAACGGACCCGAGGACCAGTATTGGTCGTGAATTATAAATTCATCAAAAGACATCGGTGGTTTTAGAGGAGGAATTCTCGGCGAGTTCATTGTATCTTGACGGAATGATTTTTGCGTATTTTGTTGGGCTTCATTTTGAGTAGTTGCAATAAAGTTAGAACTATTTTGTTGTTGACTGTGCGAATTATAGTTTTGCCAGTTATGTTGATTGTTTTCCGGCATAAAATTTGGCAAATTTTGTAGTAGATTAGGAGTATTGTAATTTAATACATTCGCGTTTTGTGGAAAAGAATTAAAACTTGGTTTATTTTTATGCGGAGGTCTGAAAATCTGAGTATTGTTATTGTAATGCTGATTCTGAATTGGACTCTCTTTATTCAGGTTTAAAATACCATGATTCTGTCGAAACTGGCTAGTAAATGGTTTGCCCGTATCAGATCTTGGCGATTGTTTGACCTCTTCTGCATCCTTCATTTGTTTCCAGTCACTAAAAGACATGCCAAGCCGAATTGGTGGTAGCACACCCAGCTGTGGGGTTTTCTTAGCTGCCCCTGGAGCATCTTCAAGTGAAGCATTTTCACATTTTTTGCGCAAATTTTCGTCATCCACTTCTACTATTGTCGCAGCCATTGAAGGAAATCGATATATTTTGTATAATGGTAATATTACAAACCCATGCACAATTTAATTATTTTTGTTAATGTTTTTAAGCGTAGTTATAGAGAACATGTAAATGAATAAAGTAGACAATTGTAGACAAACCATAAACGTCAATAAAAAAATCGTTCACAACTGCTTACATTTCATTCACAACAGATGCTCAACAAACTTTTAGTTACCATCCACAAAGTGACAGCACCAAAATTTATAATATTTGCTTTGATTGGATGTTTCATCCACTACGACGAACAGCAGTAAAAAGTTTTTCTCTTGTGTGAATTTGCAGAATTTCTGGTAAGTCTCTTCAAAGTGTGCTTCTAATTAGAAAAAATGTGCTAAATAGTGTTAATTAATCACAAACGCATGAAAATCTTTTGGAATAATCAGTGAAATAGTAAAAATTCTGCTTAAAAAAGGTGTGTGAAAATTACCGCAGCAGAAGTTACTATGATGACAGCGGTGGCGCAGTAGACGAGCAGAATGAATTGTGAGAAACGCAATAGAAGTGCTCTAATTCACCGTTACATGCCAAAAACTTATTAATAATTATTAAATATAATAAAATGTGAAATAATATACCTACCGTATATTTACAACTCGAATTTAATAACGGTAGCAGACAAACTATTTCATATTATGAAAATGTGGTCAGAGCTGTGCGCCTAGACAGACAACGCCATTGCTAGCAGCGCTGCTACGATTTTAATCTTCTGTTGCTTTATTTCTGTTTCTGCGCTACCGCCAACGTTCGCAGTGGGGCTGAGTAAATGAATTTTTGTTGCTATTCTCGACAATGATTCAATTGGCTTGTACTGGATTGGGCAACCAAGGGTAGCGTTTGAGTAAGGTGGCGTTGACGTTGGCTTATATGGCAACATAGATGTTGCAAGTTCACGCTGGCATACATAAGTTAAATATACACATGCCTACATACATATATTAAAGTGGATATGTTTTATATAAAACATTATTCGAATGATTGATACCTCAAGCTATCGCGAAATGGTAATAAGCCAAAAAAAAAAATACCAAGCGTATAGGGTACATTAGCAAGTGGGCGGGAGTGTTTTGTGACGGCGAACTTCACGGACAAGAAACGAAAGTGCGGCTGCTGGCACTTTTATAGATATCAACACGAAGGTTTAATAATTATTGTTTAATGTTGTATTTGTTTTCTGTTGATGAGGAGACCTTCAGATGATTCATATGTGTGAAATTTCGTAGGTTATTACGATAATACTATGAAGACTTTTTAATTGTGAAAATATATAAATGATATTGTTTAATTTTGCTTACTTGGTTGATTAAATATGCAAGGCGTGTCATCGCATAGTTGAAATTATAATTACAATACATTTGTCATATTCATAAAACCAAATGCGGGTTCATAATACCCTCACTGCTGCAAGCAGTTGAATTTGATTACTTGTGTTGTGTTGGTGTAAGCATAGCATATACATATATATATAGCAATACATGCATAAAGTATGAAGAAGAAAAATGTCTAACAATTAATTGTGGTGATATATTTTAATTAAGCGATTATGTTTAATAAAAATAATGCTGAACCACCCTGCTCGAAAATGCACAGATAAAGAAAATATTTAAAAATTTGAAGCTAATGCTATTGCAAAAACAAAATAATGATTATTAAATACATACATAAAAATTTGTTTAATGTGGTATAAACTTGAAATACTTTTATTATAAATTTGCAAAAGATAACTAATCGCAACAAGCAAACAAACTAACCAACTATGAGTTTGCATAAGATATATGTATATTGATACATATGTACATATGTATGTATGTAAGTGTGTATTATCAAAGATACGGAATGTAAACAGACGCAAGTTTAATAGTTTAATATTATACTTACTTATGTATATACCTATGTATATATCTAAGTTAAGGAGATTTTGTTATTTACAAAAAAAAAAAAAACTACGCTCGAGGCGAAATGCAAAAATTAGGACCAAAAAACGCCACGAATAATATTTCAAAGTATAAAATATCTAAGCAACGTCGATATAAAGATATAAACACGGCGGTCTTGTTGAGCATAAACTGACATATGTATGTACATATATCCCAATTTGCGCGTATGGGTGAATATGGAAACAGTGTTTAGATGACACAGTTGTCATCGTAGTAGGGCTTCAACACAAGCTAATCAATAGTACCTGCAAAAAAAATCACTATCACAAACCGAAGCTAAGCAAATTGTCGCGTAACAGTTTCTGAGTAATTTGGCAAATTCTTACAGCACGACGGTGTTTGGCTTTTTTTAATTCTAAGTAAATCATGCATACTACATGATAATTTATACATATATACGATGGTATATACTTTTAAAGCAATTAATAGTTTAAATTAAATTTTTTAACAAAAATATATCTAAAGTTCTTATAAAATTTCCCTTCATTTTACTTTGCAGGGGGAGGTGCAAACAGACGTTTGAGATTATCTCGATATTCCTTCAATTTTACTTGAAGCATTTTTTGTATAAGAAAATTACTTCAAACACACACACACACACACACACTCACACAAACACAAATAACAACAAGAATATAACCAACTTTAAAGTTCCACGCTTTGATTCTCACATAAAATTATAAGCATATAAAAAATAATAATATTAAAAAATAAAAAATCAACAATTGAACGACATAATCAATAAACGATTTTAATAATTAAATATAAAATAAAAATAAAATAAAAATAAATCATTAAAAGTAAAAATAAATAAAATAAAATGGCACACATAGGGCGTACAGTAAAAAATGTTGAGGCACCGCGCCCACTAAAATCACAATCACGCTCCTCATTGAAAAACAATTACATGCTCATCGAGGAGCTAATACAGCTGATTGAAAATGTTGCGTTGACTCTACAATCGGGCATTAACAATACGGAACCAATGGCAGCACTAGTGCAAAATCTACGCATACATGGTCCACAATTGGAAACCGTATCGAAAGATACATTGGATCGTGCATTTGTTGTTTTCCGCAATGCTTCGCAGGACGAACGCTTAAATATTATGACGAGACTGAATTTGCTCGAATTGATAGAGTTGCGCGCTAAAGGCTGGGAGGATAACGGCTTCAATTCGTATTATAAAACCAAACAAGCTACAAATATCGACGTGAGTCTCCTTTTCTATTTTTAATTTTTAGTATTATTTAATACTTTTTTCTTTCTTACACCGTCTTTAGCTACCCGATGGACATGTTGATCCAACACAAACCGGGTTCCTTAGCACCTCCCCCACATTCGGTGGGGCTGGCGCTGCTGCAGCAGCAGCTATTGCCGCTGTTGGCTCGGCGCAGCAGACACAATTACTACTGGCACCGGGCGAGGTCATACGAAATTCGGGCAAATTTCTAAAACCAACCAAAATACCAGGCAAAACCTATTGTAAAGATGAAGTGGTTATACGTAATGCGGATTCGGGAAAAGGTATGCACTAATATATGGAATTAAAAATGAGCTCTTCTAAAAAAAAACGTATAAAGTTTTAAATTTTCACTGTGAACTCTATTTTATTACAATTTATAAATTCTCCGAAAACTATATTTAATTGCTATAAACCATTTGTGTTTTGCCTATTTCTTTGGATATGCGTGCGCATAAAAGTTATGGGCATTAAAGGCAGACGTGTTCATATGATTGAGGAGTTAAGTGAAACGATAATATCCTTCCAAAGAGGTAAACCAAAGAAAGTCGAAAAACAATTCAAGCATCCCTAGAAAAATATAAGTTTTAACATTCATTTTTGCTCATGGCACCTTGTATGCAGTTAACATCATTTCCTTAATTTGCTTCTTTTTTTTGTTAATAATCCGCTATTTGTACATTATTCGTTGGCTGAAATTGTTTTTGGGAAGTCGATTTATACATAAGTTTTTCATTTTGTATACTCAATAAGGTTAGATTATTATAACCTCAAAATATTATCATTAATCGGTTGGGACTTTGTGGTTATTTCCATACATTAATCATTGCATTTATTAATAGTTGGTAACACATATAAAATAAAATTTACAACTTATTTAATTTTGCTATTTCGCTGTAAACTTTCATTAACTCAAAAATCACCTAATCATAACTTGCATCAAAGTTTGCATGCCCCAAACGATTTCCATTTTAAAAATATAATTCGCATCTATTCATACAGGGAGGTTTTAAGTAAGACATTTATTGTACATACATGCATACATATGATAATTATGTAACTTTTATTCGAACTACTAGGCAGTTAATATTTATTTTCATATTCATTCATACATTCATAAAAATTATCTAACTCAACACTTGCAGCCAGAATTTCTAAAACTTTGTTTATGGAATTTTTGAAACAAACTTTTTTGTTTTTGATTTAGTAAATCCTGGCGCTAAGGAACGTTTGGTGCAAATTACTGGACCAACTGAGGAAAAAATTAAGTAAGTACAGTTAGTAAATTATGTATTTAATGCCAAAAATAAAAGAATTAAAAAGAAAAAATCCCTCGCAAACTACTTCTAAGACTAGCATAAGTTCATTGCATATTTATACGGGAAAACTACAAATTTTTCTGTTTGCTCACAATTATCGAATCCACAGTAGCGAATCTAAGTATATCACTCATTGATCATTATAACGCAGTCCCACTTGAAAAACTTTATAAGTTGAAATGATTGAGTTTATGTGTAAATAACTTTCTCTGGCCGCCCGAAAGCTACCCAAAAGTGCTAAATTCACTGCCCTAGAGCGATTCTTCTTATAGTGTCAGTTGCATAGCTGAAGATAAAGGGTTTTCCGACAAGGTGTTATTTTAAAGTTCAAAAAACAAATTCGACAATTTTGCTCATTAATGGTGACATCGGGGTGCAAATGGACCTCATCGGGCAAGATGATTTTTCAATGAAATTTTTCTAGTAAATTTTAACAATTCCAATTCGTTATTGTAGCGTGTATCGTTCCATTTTTATTACTTGCGTACTTTTTATTTGTCAAATATTAAAAAATTACAGCTTACAATGTAATTCGTTTCGTGCTCAGTTGTTATTTAACGAATATTTTGTAGTTCTACAAGAAAGGTTTTAATTTCCACCTCATTATGTGGTAACACCGTAAACGAGTACTAGTAGAGTAGAGTCCAGTTCAGAAGGTATATTCAATATACCACTTTCCAAACTTCTTTACATACATCCTTAACATATACATATGTATACCCCCCACAGGCATAATGAATCCGTCTGGTAATACTTAATGACCTAGTTCTACCAACACGCTATAAAAAAATATTTTTTTTATTTTTTCCCCCTATATATATATCTGTAATGTTCGGCAATAAACATTTCTTTCCCTGCATTTTAGCTATGCCAAACAACTCATTGAGGACACTATTCGACGTAATGCCTCACCCGTACGTCTCGATCCCGCTATGGGTAGCGGTCATGCTGGTGGCGGCGGTTCATGCTCATCACTAGCATCTTCCAATTCCGATGATGTCGTTACACCGCGTACACCGGGCGGTGCTGGTAACAGTAGTCTAGCCAATCGTTTGAGCTTCAATTCAGCGCAAAACTTCATGACTGCCACTGCGGCAGCAACGGCCTCGCAACAACAACAGGTTATGAATATGATGGGCGCCGTCGTTGGTAGCACTTCCACACCTACGGCTGCTGCCGCAGCTGCAGCTGCTGGTAAAGTGTTACGTCCAAATCAGCAAATGTTATTGCATTCATTTTCCACCAATGATGCTTCTTTAGGTGAATACAAATATACGGTGAACGTGGGACAGCATCTCATCAAAATCACCGGTGATTGTTGTGATCTTGTGCGGGTGAGTAAAAATAATGCATAGCAGTTTTTCAACACCTAACCGTAACTACTTTTATAAGGTTGCAAAACTAGTGCTGGACGATTATTTTAGCAGTGCTGAGTTTTTGGCTTCCGTAGAGGCTGGCGCCGCCTTCGATGGCAGCATTGTTAGTCCGATTGCAACACCGTCCACGCCGATGGCCGCGCCGCAATTCATGATGGGTACACCACTACATGCCGCTGCACCACCACTGGCGGATAGCGGCATCGGTTTGAATTACATGGCCGTACAGGGTGTCAACAGTAACATGCACGATGGTGACGATGAAGTTTTTGCCGATTCAAATGGTTTGCTTTTCCACATATTAAGCATTTATTTCAATTAGCGGTAAAAATGTATGCAAATTTAAATTTACTTTATAGCTACCGGTCAGAGTAATGGTTTAGCGCGTTCGCGTAGAAGTCACTTCTCGCGTAAAGACTCCACACCGGAAGCGCCAACTAGCTCAACGGCTGCGCGTGGTAAAAATGAAAGCGCCACTGTTGGCACTGTCAGCAGTGATTCGAGTAAGTGAAATTTGCGGTTTCAAAACTTTCGCAAAGTTAAAATTATAATACTTTTTATATCTAAATTATAAATGCACTTTTTATTTTATATTCCCTTCAGCACGAATTGTTCACGAATACGAGCATTTGTTGTACTACTCGAAGAGCCCACATTCCTGGGCATTGCCAGTGGAGTGGCAGAAAATCTGCGAAAAGTTTCCAGCCATCGTACGCAATAAGGTAACCCAAGTCACTGCCGCCACAGGCACAGTTACTAATACAGCACCGATATTACGTGTTGCTTCCATAACTACTAATAGTACTATTTCCAATCCCACTACTATTACTACTACTTCTGCTATAACTACCAGTGTAATTACGCCCAGTATAAGTACTATGCCAAATATTGCTAGTAATAACAATAATAACAATAGTATTAGTAACAATCTATATGCTAATGCCACTGTTGGTTCCGTTGGCGGTGTTAGTGTTAATGCTAATAATGTATTAAATAGTAATTTAAGTAATTCCACAAAGAATAACACAATGCTTGTGCAGACACAACAGCACACAGCAGTTATTACAATTTCACAACAACAACAACAACATCAACATCAACCAACTATGCACATGCACCCTGGTAATAATAGTCCACTTATACATAACCGTCAGCAGTACGAACTGCACCACCCACCATTACATATCAAACGTAAGGGGTTTTTCAATCGTCAAATTGTTAGTATTGACGAGGAGGGCTATGATGGCTTGCAACAACAACAGCAGCAGCAGCAGCAGCAGCAATATCATCAGCACTATCATAAAGATCGCCATTATGGTAATGCTAATGCGCATACGAATAATATGTATCAACGTCCGTATAGTCATCGTACCGATGCAAATGCTAATAACAGTAATCATAGCAGTAATCAACAGCACCAACAAGAAATGCATTACCACCATCAGCAGCAGCAATCGTTGTCTCAACAACAACACATGACCCATCAACATCCACAAAAATTAGTATCTGTGCGTTCAGGCCCAACCACAGCTGGTTTTAACTTTGCAAATTCACCATATAACAATGCCGGTGTCACACCACCAGTACAACCACCAACAACCACAACACCAGCAACTCATACAAATAACTTGTCGGCGTCATTCAATAATGGCAACAACTCGAGTGGCAGCAATTCTTATGTAATTATTAGCGGCGATAATAAGCCGCAAAAATTATTAAATAAACAAATTAAATTGATTTCCTCCATTACGGAGAGTACTTTGGTACAAGAGCCAACTGACATTGGCACCAAGTCGCTTGAGGGTAATGAAAATGATTACAAAAGTGCTGGTGGGACTAATGTTGCTGCTGAAGGTGGAGAGAGGATGCTGAAGAGTGCTAAGGCCAAAACGTCGGCAAACAAGTCTAGAAAAATGCGACGTGACATGGGCACAAATAGCGATATTATCGAAATCATCGACGATGAAGATAATGATGATGATGTGGAGTTTGTTAGTGAGACAAAATATTTACAGAGCGAAATTATTATCACTGCTGATGTTGTTGCAAATCAAAGACGTGCAATAGAACGTCCAAAATTTATACGTGAATATCGTTCGAATTCTACGTGTGATTAATAACTGCAAAGAGGCAGGCATGAAAAGCAAATCATTATGGGTTACCGGTCAAATGACCGGTAATTGTAAAGAAATGAAGAGTTTTAAACAAAAACAAAGCAATCTATAATTAATACGTTTTGTATGAAAACGAAATATCACATATAACAAACACTAGATATTACGTCCGGATTAATTGAAAAAAAAAATGATACATTTTTAATGGTTGTTCTTCTCAAAAAAGGAGAAATTCGTAAAAATATCAGCAATGTTATATTCAGAAATCCCCACAATTTTATATGCAAAATATAATATAAAGTTAAAGATGTCAAGTTAACATCTTATACTTTTTGAGTTTACTTTTTAAACAGATTTTGAAATTTCGTTTACTCCAAAGCTTAGTGCTTCAACTACTTTCATTCATCCGCTGTTGAGTAAGAAACTATCACATATTTTTATCGCGTATTAAAATTAATAGTTTGACTATTTTTGACTCAATAAAAACCGGAGATTTTATTGATAACTAAAAAAAAGGAGAATTTTCAAAAACCTCAACATCTTACTTTCTTTTCATTCAAGATTTTATAAATTGTACAACAATAATAAGTCTTGTTGATACCAAAATGTGTCAAATTACCTATCAAAGTAACGGTATAAAACGGTGTGACATACTTTTTCTTCCAAATTAATACATATTTTTATTACTAACAAAATGAATATAATATATAAAAGATATATATATATATATTTTTATAAAACCAAACGAACGAAAGTGCATACACTTTACCAAAAACTACGTTCCTTTCTAACATATTTGTTTATATAAATATATTATTTTATGTCATGTATATATATAATACATAGAAAAAATATGAAATCAATGATTTTGAAATTAATTGCAGATTTAAAAGAAAATGTATTTCAAGTACGATTTTTTAACTAATTTTAAAGCAAAGCTTTTTAGACCCAACAAGCGCTATAAGCCATTTTAATTGTGAAAAACAATACATAAATGTATTATACATTTCACTAATCTGTGTTTTGGCTGTGAAACAGATTATTTAACAAAAATCTAAAAAAAATATTATTACAAATGCAAAAAAAAAAATTCCGAAAAACAAACGTTAAAATTTAACAAAAAAAAAAAGCGTATCGAAATCCAAAAGCAACTTACAGAGTTGCAAATTTTTGTAGTTTTTTAGTCCAACAAATATTGCAATAAAGTAAGAAGACTAAAATAACACACGAGGATTATACACGTGCAATGAAAAATTAAAAAAAAAATTTAAGTATATTTGTACTTAATTTCAGTCCAATTTGTTTGCATTAATTCAACATAAAAACAATTTGCTGTAAATACCGGCAACTTGCTTTTTATTTAAATGCTTTTGTTCAATTGATATGCAACAACAACTTTATACCAAACATTGCACGTTTATATCCTTTAAATATACACACAAATGAATATCTTTCGGTTAAGGGTAAATGCAAATTAGTTTTTAAGGCATTCATGAATTCAACTAAATAGTTTTAAAGTTAGTCATAAGCCAGAGGCAGTGCGTGGATAAGCAGAAGAATGCAATATTTATAGATTTTAATTAAAAAATTAAAATATAACTAATAAGTGTGAAATAAGCGTAAATCTATTTAAGAAAACAAATCTGGTTTGGAAAAATATCATTTAAAATTTGAAATTTTCCGATTAGACGTTTTTTTTTCTTCTTTTTTTGTGAAAGTTTAAGGGGGGAGGAACCTGTTTTAGAACGCTGAAAATTGCATGATATACGGCGCAGTGTTGCCTTACGTATGAAATTTTGCGAGCACTTTTGAAATAGGTCATAGATACACAAATCTTGCAAAATAAAATTTACTTTCACTTTATTTGATACTGTTAAGCAATAACAATTCGCATTTGTTTGTGACACTTCTCGCTCGAAGAGTCTATTTTGTGAACACGATAGCGATCGTAGTTTTCATCTGAAACATAAAAACGAATACATTTTTTGTAGCTTCGGAGTTGCTCTTCTATGTGAACCTAAGGTACTCGAAGAAATGTATAAAAATGATTTATTTTATGACTGTTTATCAAAAATTTTGCGTTTTTCTGAAGAAATTTTAAGATAATTTATTGAAAAATGTTAATAAAAAAAATTTGTTATTGTGATTTTTTTGGTTCACATAGAAGCTTACACTAGTAGCTGTAAAAAAAAGGTATCACTTACAAATTTTTCAATCGTGTGCACAAAACAGAAAAACACTGTTTTGAGAAAATCGCGTTCAAAGTTCACGCGCCCGCTTATCAGTCTCCTGAGCGCATTGTCTCTCAAAGGACATTTCTGCGGTACGATTAGGAATTTGACACTGAAATTTTGTGGAAATATTTCTGAATATATTTCTAATCGAATGAGATAAATTTCAAAAACTCGTTTTTTTGACCCTCTAAACCAGGTTCCCCCTTAAATTTTCTTTACCACTATACAATTCTGTTCCGCTGCTAACTAGCTCCTTATTTAATACTAAAAACCAAAGCAATTGTGCGATTTATGCACTTAAATAGCGCTAAATTCCACTTACATATTTTCATACATAGTTATAAGCTTTATAAATATATAAATATTTATATATTTATATATATATATATACAAATCAATTGAATGTACACAATTTCTTTGAATTACACATATTTACAATATTTTTGAGATATTTTATGTACTTATATGTCTGTATGTACATATGTACTGCATACAAGTAAAGCTTATTTTCCGCATCATCAACACAATTTATTTTGAAGTATTTTAATAAAATATGCTTATTAGCTAAGTTATTTTAACTTAAAACATATTGGAAACAACTGCTGCTTTGTAACTGCTTTATTTCACGTCAAAATAATATGGATTAAAACTGACTTCATCAAAAAACGCATGCTTTTCAACATATTCAATGGTATGGTTTATATAATAATGGTAATGTGTTCAAACAGAAATTATAACACAAAAGCACTAGCACAAATACATACATATTTACATACATATATACATACATGAGTTGCACATTTTTCAACATTGGGACGCTTTGACTGATTGGGCAGGCGCGCAAATTTCATAATTTGAATTTTCTACGCCACTATTTATTTTAATTATTTTTATGTTTTCACTTATAATTATTATGCTTTTATTAATATCTTTTGTTTGCTTATATTTTACATATTTATTTTTCTTTTCTTGTTTTGTCGTGCTTTTTTTCATATGTTTTTGTTTTTATTCTTTTTCGTTGCTTTTCTCTATTTTATTTACATTCTACATTAACACAAAATCATTAGGAACATTTAGTATTATATTAAGCATAACAACTCACACACCCATAAATCTAAATGAAAAAAAAAATCGCTTGTAGCCGCATTTAATTTCGCAAAAACAAAATCGTATTCATTTTCAATGCTCTAAACCGGCATATGTCATTTGTCGAACACCAACATAATCAAGCTTCATTCATCACCATCACGCTTAAGCCAATAAGTAAATTTAATTGACTTTAATTTAAGGTAAGCCAAATTATTTTCGTGTCCAACTAACAGCATTTTGTTGTGTCCCACATTTGTTGCTCTAAGTTTGAAAACAATACATTTTTTTTTTTAATTTTAAATTTATTTTTAAAATATTCATATTTACTATTATTATTATTTTTTAATTTTAGACAGTTTATTTTTATTTTGCTTATTTTTTATGATTTTCTATTTCTCTCTATTTCTTCCCCGGCGCTCTCTAGGATTTGGCGGATGAAAATAATCGTTTCGATGGTGAAAAATATTTGGAATTGGTTAAATCGGCGAGCAAGCGTAATATCGCTGCCGCCACTGATGAAACGACCAGTGGTGACACGGAGAATCAGGAAAACGAATAATACGCAAACGATTTCACATAATCCTTTATTGATTTAATTTAATTTTATTTGAAAAAGGACAGCTCCCATACACCATTATCCCATTCGTGATCGTACTATGTGAAAATAGTATGTTTTTTTATTTTTTATTTTTTAGTTAAATATTATTTTAATTTAATTTGTTTTTTTCCCAATTTTTAAAGCGTTTATTTAAATCAAGTTTATTATATAATATTACTGAAGAAAAAATAATTGAATAGCTGAGCTAACAGTAAATCAAACGAACTTTATTGCAAACCATTTTAAATGTGTAGCAATTTGTTGTAGTGAAAATATTTGAAACGAAATTGAAACTCGTTTAGGCATAGCGGCAATAATTTTCAGAAGTCTATGAAAAGGATATTAAAATAATGATAATATTTCGTATTTTTTATAAGTCGAAAATTCAAGTTTTGAATATTAGTAGTGAATTTTTTAATTTAACTTTTTTTTTTTGAATGTCTAATGAAGATAAACTCAATCAGATATTTTCTTTGGAATGTCAGAACTTTAACTTTTTTTTTTTTTTTTTGAAGTATAACTTCAGTGCAGTGCGCATAGTGGCGAATTCGGAAGAAACGAAAAATATATACTTCTGTAAATGCAACAATGAAAAAGAAGTTTAAATGAAAAGTATTACATTCTTAAACCTTAATAACTGAAACTTATTACAAAGTAAAAAAAAAAATTAAAAAAAAAAATCCATTTAATTATTTTTTTATCTTTAAACAAAGTTGAAATTCAAATTACAAATATTTAAGCTTGGTGCAGCAACGTTAAATAGTCTAGAAATGAAAAATACATTAAAATAAATAATTTAGAAGAATGAATTTTAAATCAAATGCAATTTCGCAAATTTGCTTTTTTTTGACTGTACTTAGAACACAGCAAGTAAATTCTAAAATTTAAAGTTAAACTACTTATAGTGAGAATTTTAATTATTTATAATTAAGTTATTTCGAACTCGACAAGCAAAGTAAGACTTTTCGAAATACACACTCAGGAAGAATATTTCTCACGAGTTTTTAAATACGAAGCTACTTAAAGTGAGAGCTTTAAATTATTGGAAGCCATTTCAATTATGAAACTTAAATTTTGACTGGTTTTGAGCAATTTTTAATTAATTTTTAATAAATTGTTTTGAAAAAAAAAAATTTTTTTTTGTCAGTTTTTAAAGTATTTTTTTTTCTTCAAATTTGTTCTCCTTACAAAAATTATTTCTCTTTTCTCAACATTTTTACTCAAACGATTTTTTAAAGCCTGTCTATAAAACAGATAGTCGTTTCCATGCTCATTGCACTGATAATACAAATTATTTCGCTGGTATATTTTGGATTTCGATTTCGAGTTGAAAATCTAAATTCTTTGCGCTAATTTGATAACTCGTTGGAATCAAAAACGCATAGAAATCCAAAGCGTGTTCCATTAAATTAATAATAATTATTATTATTTCTTTTTTGTTTTCAAGTAAAGTAACATCAATAAAAAAAAAAAAAACTTTAATGTTAGTTTTTAATACGTATTATGCATTTTTTGAAAAATAAAAGGAAACGAACATGTTATTTATCTAGTAATATAACATAAAACTATTTATGTTTCATTTATAAATCAACATTTATTACGATAACGATTCATTTGAACGTGCTTCATTATTTGTGCGTACGCGTTTTTTGTAGTATAAACATACAAACATATATACATACATGTATATAAATTAATTTATTAAAATGTAATAACTGTTTTCGCAAATGTGAACGTTTTTGTGAATTTTTTAGTGTAAAATATTTTTGAATTAGATATTTGTTTTGCAATTATTTAAAAGAAAGAAAATTAAGCAATGTCCAATGTAAAATTTTAAGCTATTCGTTTCTTTTTTTTTTTTTACAAACAAAAAACATAAAATGATAATAAAGTCGCATTAAGAGCGCAAATGTTCATCTCCAAAAAATAAGTATTTCTTTTTCCAAATTTTTAAAAATTAATATTTATTTTGTCTCTGTATTATTTTTTTTTTTTTAATTTTCGTTTTATGAATTTTGTTTTGAAATAAATATACTAATTGAAATTCTCAAACGTATACTTACATATTTAAGCGTGTGTTAATTTTGTTTGTCTTAATTTATTTTCGTTATTTACATGTATTTAAATGCATATAGATTTTTTATTGAAATTTTGCTAAAGAAGCAACCGTAAATTGTCTAGTCTATCTGAAAAGTTTAATTTTTCTGTATTCAATTAATTAATGAATATTTTTTTCATTTTGTAAGTACTAAAACATCAATTAAGCGTATTTTATATAAAATCAAATTGTTTTCTTTTGACTAAATTACTTTAACTTTTTAATAAAGCAAACCAAAAACCGAAGAACAAAATAAAGTCTTTTTATTATAAAGTGTTCTGTGATTTTTTAAAAGTGCACACAAAGTACAAACTACATTGAAAGGCTTCAACATGAAATATAGTAATTTGATTTCCACTGAAAAGTAAAAAAAAAAAAAAATCGGACAATTTCGATCTGAGAAGGTTAAGTTTTAACTATTTTCAACTAATGTAATTCAAAACACGGAAAGGTGATTGCGAGCAATTTATCGCCAGATGTCCAAACCTTTACATAACTTGCGTCTCGCTGCTGTTCTACCCGTAAATATGCCTCCATTTTTTTCAAGTCGCCACACTTCTGGCAACATTTGTTTTTTGTTCGAAAAATCACTTTATCATCCTCTTTGCCTTGCACACATTCGTTAAGCGGTGTCAAAAAATTCACGAACAAACGTCAAAAACATTTTAAACAAAGTTTCTCCTCTTGCTGCATGAATCAAAGAAAAATTGGCCCAGAAACGTAAATTACATATACAAATACACAAAAATTGAAGAAAAACATACCGCTGACGTGTTTTCTTTTCTTGAAGCGTGCAATAATTAATTTTGGCTAAATATATTTTACATCATAAAGGTACTACGTGCGTCAGTCCCTTCTGTCGTAGACCGAACAACGCAGGGCATAAGGCAAATTTGTTGCAGGAACTGCCAAGCAAGACAAGGTGTTGTGCGGTGTGCTTGTGTTAGTAACAACAAGTGCGCTTGGAGTTGTAGCAGCGGCGCCAGTTATAATGGACGCCAAAAACGACGATTCAGCCGGTAGCGACTCGCTGGACAAGTCTTTACAAAAGAAATGTGTTGTCGATGACGTTGGACAAGGTGAAGTTTCCACGGCAAATGTAGCGCTGGCGCAAGGCATTGGTGATACAAATACTATACAAAAATCGGATACTGAAGCTGAAAATCTACCTGCAATTTCTATTAATTCCCAAAACAAGACTGAGAAAAGTGCAGGTGATGGCATGAGCGGTATCCGTGTCGAATCAAATTGCTGTTTAGATGGTAACTATGTTGAAAACATTCATAATGCTGACATTACGAAAGAGAAAAATCCCGCACAATTGATTGAGTCGCACGAATCTGTTAATTTAGCCGATATTAATAGGCATGAACAAGAAGATAATACGTCCGCGTTCGAGAATGAGCAAGCCACAATTTCCAATAACACAGTAAGTGATGTTGTAGAAGCTCCAAGTGAATGTAATTCTAATAGTTGTAGCAACAACAGTACAAGTAGTAGCAACAATAGTAATGCCTTCGAAACAAAAGTAAAGCAGATCTCCAAGAACCTCAAAGAGACCACACTAGCTGAGTGTGCGAACAAGAAAAACTCAGCTGATGACAACAATTCCACCTCGTCCGCTTCCTCGGCTTCTTCAACGTCGTCTACGCCGGAATGTGAACAGGCAGCTGTGGATGCTGCGACAGCGGCATTATACTCGTTAGGACCAAGTACCAGCGCGGCGGCGGCGGCAGCTGCAGCTGCGGCAGCGAGCGGTGTATGTACTCAAGATGAACAAGATCATCGCTCTAAAAAAGTACGGTTTCATCCAGACGTAAAAGAAAACGATGGTGGAAATAGAGTTATTCCAAAAAAGAAGAAAAAACTGAAAACCGCACAAGCAGGAAGTAGCCCTTCCAGTGGATCTGGAACTGGTGATGAAGCGTCTGGCGGTAGTCAGCGAGGTACTTCGACAGAAGATGAAATGGAATTAGATGATGAAGATGATTTAGAAGAGGAAGGTACATTTAGCATAGCTAAAACAATAGAAGATGCTCAAGATTATCTAAAAGAGCATCCCTTAACATTTGCCGGTTCCTTCGACAAAAGTAATGTCACTACCCAAAGTGGTCTGTTAGAAGAAGACGATTTACCACAACTAGTAGAAATATCAGAAAACGACGACGAAGAATTCTGTCTAGAAGAGATGCCGGAGAATGGCATTTCATGCATTTTAGGCAAACAAAATAAATGCGGAAAGGTAGGGTGACATTTCCAGCAATCTTTATTTCATTATTTACAATTTTAAATATATTTCGTAGGTGGAGTTCCTGTTACGTTACATTGATCGACCTGGATTATTTTGGGAATCAGAAGAGTTCATTAGTCTGCGGTGTCCCAATTTACTTAATCAGTATGAACAATGTCGTGAAAGGCGTCAGGCGCGTTTAGTGAGTTGTACACAAGTAATTAATATAAAGCGGTTTTTTTTTTAAACAATATATTTTCTATTCAGATGAGTTTTGTGGCGAAGCGTCAAAACCTACGGCAACGATACACAGACTTCTAGGAGCAAATGTGTTTATGTTGAGGAAGACTTGACTGGAACTACAACAATATATCGCTTTATAGAGTTTGCGGTGCAGAAATGCTACTCACGAAAAATTATATATATCTACAAATTCAAAACAATACAAAAGTATGAAATTTAAGAAAAAAAAATTGCTGCTTCAGTAGAATGGCAATATGTACAGTAAATTTCATGATGCTCTGTAAGGGCACAGAGTAGAACATAAAACCCAATAAGAACTGTAAAAATGCTACGATATTTTAGCAATTTTCTTTCCCCAATTTTCAATTGAAAAATTTATACAAGAGATTTTTTTTTTTAAGTTATCACACAAAAAGCTTAATTCATAAATTTTGATATTTTTTGCAAACATGTATTGAGAGAATCGCAAGTACATCTGCCGGAAGCAAAAAAAAAAATATTTTCTTAACTTGTGTATGTATAAAATTTTTTAATAATTGTACTCATTTAATGAAACGCCACTATATAAAATTGAATGAAATATAGGGAAAGGGATTGGATAATACAAAAATACCAGCAACAAAGCACATTGAGAAAACCTAATAAATTCAATGATAGTAATATAATTATATAATAAACTATAAGCAAAAGTCTATTTTAAGTTGTCTACTTTAATTTCAAGTATTTTTTTCGAGACATCCAACGGTTGGAGAAATAATTGGATGGGAGCGTTTAATAAGCAGAACACGGAACACTCTTCTATGATAGTTTTAGAAGGGCGTGACTTGAACTTTGAATATATTAGTAATAATATATTTAATTACACTAACCTCAAAATTTCCTGAAATATATCTTCAAAAGTTTAAAATTTTTAAAACTGAAAACCTCTCGAAATATTTGTAACTACGCCAATGAGCAAAAGAATTTCCATAACATGGTTGCAACTCCTAGTTTTAGTGTTGAAAAGTTATGCACCCGACTTAATTTGTTTACGTTAAGTACGAAATACATCGGACATGACTTCCGTTATACACGTATGGAAAACCAAAAAGCGGTTTGATTTTGAAAATGTGTGCAGACAGAGTTCAATTCTCTCAATCTTCAAGCTTTTTGCATTCGACGCATTCTGACGAATGGCGAAAATTTCATTTAATTAAAAATATATTCATATATAAGAGTTCTAAATATATATAAATTCTTGGTTTCTAAATTTATTTTTCTTCTTCAAAGTTCTGGAAAAATTAGAGTTAAAAACTGTGCGAGTCCACGCATCACAATTTCTCGATAATAATAATCGCATAAATCTTCAAATTATAGGTGTAAAATGCACTAAGGAACTTTTACTGACATAAAGAAACGAATCGCGCACATACACGTTTACGCAATCCTATAATTAAAACATATGTTGTGCTTAATCATTTTCAATCATTGGCTGGTTCTCGTATCTTTGCGTAGAAATTTATGCCACTTTTCAGATTCTGCAACTTTCCGTACAGTATGTTAAGTTTTTACATTCTCTGGAAAGAATATATTGATTAGTTAAACAGATTTTCATTCCTTAAGAAGTTAACACTGGTAAAGGTGATAACTTCTCTAATGTAATTTTGATTCTTGTTCTTGCGTTGTTCTATCTATACTTTTTATACTGATTTTTTGACATTTTCCAACACCAATTTGGCATCATGCAACTCTGAGTTCGGAGCGTTTCCTTTCATAACGTTTTTGCGCTTCATTTTTCACGCCGAATTCGTTTCTTCTTCTAAACAGTTTTTCTTGTGGTGGTGTGCAAATATTTGTTTGCCGATAAAAGTAATTTTAAGTGAAAATATTTAAAAAACATTTTAGCAATACGAAAAATTGTGAGTAAATTAGTATCGATAATATACAAGTTCATTGTGTTTCCAATATAAAATTTCTTTTATTTGGGTATAACCCATGGCGTGACGCGCGTTGCTGTACACATTTTTTAATTGATACAATTTTCCCCGATACATTGCTCAAATTTTATATTCTCGATTTTCCACAAACATAAATAACCGCATATATTTCTTTTATTACGTGAAAATTTCCGCTTCAGAGTACAAAAACTATCTACAGTCAGATATGAAATCAAAGAAGACCGATTCCACTGCAGCTGCCACCGACGCTGCCGAGTCATCCGAAGAAGAGGAATACGCTGTAGAGAAAATTTGTGGCCGCCGCGTGCGTAAGGGAAAGGTTAGTGGTTATTTTTTTTTCAATTTCTTTTTAAAATGCTTTTTGTATGTATGTTTATTAACATTGGCTATTGATGTACTTCATAGGTCGAATACTTTCTGAAATGGAAAGGTTATCCTGAGGAGGAGAATACCTGGGAACCAGTGGAAAATTTGGATTGCCAGGATTTAATACAGCAATATGAAGCAGATCGTGCGAAAGAAGAGGTAAGATATAAATGAAACTGGCTAGTCGAACGTTCGCAAGTTATTGATGGAAGTTTTTGGCGGGAAGTGCGTTAATTTGCCGCTTAAACCTGCTTTATGCACGTCTAATTGTATACAAATGTTTATTTTGGTTTTCATTTTCTCATACCCATCATTAATACATACACAACTTATTCACAAATATTAGTTTATTTATCTTTCAATTAACAGTAGCTGGTCAAATACTTTTTATCTTATATTGCAGCCTAGTCATTTAAAATTGTATTTTAGCGATTATGCAGTTCTCTTAACAGATATAATACTCTATTGGGTTTTAATTTATTTTTAACATTTAACAGCCCGCCGCTTCGAGCAAACCGGTCGAGAAAAAGGAACCATCTAGTAAAAAGGAAGCTAGTAGTAGCGGTCGTACCAGTGCAGCCGGCAATAAACGCAAATCTGAGGAAAAAACATCTGGTAAGCAATAAAATTTCAAAAATAAATTTTTGGTTTGTTTATTTTCAAATAATTTATCCAATATGCCACAGCAGGCAGTAAGAAAAAGCGTCGTGATTCATTGAAATCGGAAACGGATAATGAATCAGTATCCGATGTCTCATCGCGCACCTCAGAACGTACTGGTTTTGACCGGGGACTGGAAGCAGAGAAAATTCTTGGCGCTTCAGATTCCAGTGGCGGCTTAACTTTCCTTATACAATTCAAGGGTGTCGACCAAGCAGAAATGGTGCCTGCAGCCATTGCAAATGTTAAAATTCCACAAATGGTCATAAAGTTCTACGAGGAACGTCTTTCCTGGTATTCTGACAATGAAGAGTAAATTTAATTAATTTTATGTAGTTGTGGATTATAAAACCTCTATATATATGTATATGAAAATATTTAAAACAAAAACAAAATGAAAAAGCAAAAATAGATACATATATATATATACATATTGCATACATACAAACACGACTTTTCCGCAATTCCTGCTAAAAGTATTTTGTCACTGATTAGGAAATGCTATTAAACATAATTTGATATGAATAAGTTTATTTCTATAATTTAAATGAAAACTATCCTATATGACCTTCATAACAATTTTAATTAAGACTTCGGTTGAAAGATCTTCATTAAAACAACAAGAATATTAATTATTTCAACTTATCAATTTCTTGTTTCCATTTCAATAAAATGTTCTCATTTTTAAAGAAATCACTATTTTAATTTTACAATGCACTCATTTGAAACATTGAAGTTGAATACATATTATATTTTGTGCTTATTTCCGAAACATGTTTGCAATCGTGGCATTCGTACAAGTTTCTATAACTTCTCTGAACTATCTTTAAGTAGAGATGGATTTGTTAAATCCAAAATAAAATCGCTGTTCTGATGTGGGAAATATGTTTAAATAAAATTCAGAAAAAAATGTAAATTTGTTTATTTTGCTATTGCGCTTTTTATCTAGATAATAATTTTAAAGGCTCTGTAAGCAAGAGGCTTACACAACGAGTTACCTATCTTAAGTATCTACATATTTCATAACAAATGTAAATGTCTAAATCACATAATAATATTCTAAAAGTCGAACAAAAGTGTTTGGTATCCGATTTCGCATTGAAAAAGAACCCACAAAATAATAAATATTTCTCGAAATTCTTTAGGTAGAGAAGCGTAATGAATGCGTTTAAAACGCGTATGGACCATCCTAATATAATAAACAAACAATGCAATGGCAATTGTATAAACAAACACCATTGGTACAGCTACGGCTAGCGCCCAATCGACCACCGAATGTTCTTAGGCACCTAAACATGCGCAAAGTAATTTTTCCATTTGAGTTAATTTCTTTTAACGTATTGCTGATGGTTGTGCTATGTTTGAATGTTCGAGTTATAGCGTATTTTTTATATTCATGTACATCCATACATACATATGCAATTTCATACTAATTTAAATACATGCATAAATATGTATTGTGGGTGCGTAAGATGAACGCAGTTTTCCACTCCAATGTATGCTGACTTTCCTAGCAAATTGATTTAATGACAACTACCAGCTGTTGGACGGATATTTCACTAACAATCTTGACTGCGTTGATGTTGTTGCTTTTAGGGTTACACAAAAATAAATACTTTTATTTTGGACAAATATATGTATGCCGTTTGGAAATTTACTAAATGACATTTTTTAACACAAATTTCAGGCTACTTTCAACCGAAAAATTAACCGAGGAATATAAACATTAATTTTTTTATAAAGGCATTAAATAAAAGTTATGTTTTTATTGCTGTAATAAGATACTAAAGCAATTCAAACAATTTTATTTTACCCCGCTAGTATAGAAGAAAACTAAATACCTAATTAATACAACTTAATTAAAAAGCATGAATGAATTAATTGATAACTTGTGAAATCATGAAAACGAGATTTTCTGGTGTGTATGAAAACGGCGGAAGGCAGAACTACAAGTTAGCACGTACGATTTCTTGCTGGGTAGGTACTCAAAATTATCTTTATATTATATTGTATGAATATGAAGATACACATGTATGCATGTATGTACCTAAAATGTACATATGTATATCCTCATACATACCTACATGCAAACTTGTTATGTAAATAATGAGTTCATAAAATTTTTATGGATTTTTATGCAGTTTGTGTATAGTTTTTTTTAACGGTCATTGTACTATATAAAAACAATATAAAAAGAACTTATTTGTGTTTTCTATTTATCTTAATTTTTTTTAACATTTTTTCCATTGAAATGTTTACTTAAAATACATACATATTTATCCACACATTTACATATTTTCTAGAAAGTATTTGTATATTTATTTTAGAGGAAATAACAAATTTTATTTATAATTGATGTGTGTTTCCGTTACTTTGCTGCTGGTACTCGTTAAAAAAATAATATAAAACCGTTTTGTTTTTGTTGCATCTCTTTGATATCTGATCCTTTTAATGAAGAATATTTTTTTTCGGCATATCCGATATCAGCGCCATATTGCTAGGATCTTTTTTGGAAAAATTATTGAGAGTCGCAATCCATTGCATACTCAAAGTTTTGTTAAAATGAAATTGAGCACCTGGAAATCGAAGCTCAGCTCTTGTTGTTGTAACTGCAAAATTATTCCCCAAAGTACTTTTTGGGGAATGTTGCGGGAGTGACAGTCCTTGGCCGGATAAAAATCCGGGTCGTTCCGGTATAAAGACTCGAATGTCGCGGGAACTATTGGATTTTAGTCGCCTCTGAGGACAGGCATGCCTTACCACGGGTAAATTCTTGAGCCCCTAACCCGCAGGGGGGGGCAGCTCTTTCCAATGACTGATATTCGCATTTCCTTAAATAGGGTGCTCTTATCAAGCTCCTTCGTTTTAAAAGATCTTTTCCTATCTAATTGCGGCTAAAATTATGTAGATTTATGGTTTACCGACCCCACTTGGAAGCAGACTAGATTAGTCTAAGTCATCGAGGTCATCAAACGGTAGGTCCAAGAAACGAATTGTTTTGACGGGTTCGTGCCAAAAGGAAGGGGGTGGGGTTAGATTAGTGGTTTTAGGGAATATGCAATGAAATAGTTATTGTCTCATCGCAAGCAGGACATGCCTTAGGCATATCAAGTTGTGCCAGTTATATGCGTGACTCGAGGCAGTTCGAGCACTTTGTCTGCAACAGGTGGTGGTTTGACTCCGAGGACACCATTCACAGGAAATTGGCGGTCTCTCGGTAAATAGCATTTAATGTCTGTCGGTAAGTCGTGTTGTTGTTGTAACCGCGAAATCCGACAGTAGAGGGAACTATTGGATTTTAGTCGTCTCTTACGATAAACATGCCTCTTACCACGGATAAATTCTTCAGCCGCACGGGAATCGGTAAGTCGTCCTGCCCGTCGGTTGTTGTTGGTTGGTGTTAAACGCAGTCCTTTCCGTACGGTAGCATCCCAGCAGAAATTGCTTGTAAAGCAAAGCACTAGGCTCCTAAACTCGTAGCATAGATGCCTTTCTGTGCAAGTGTTGCTCTGGCGATATCAGAAGGTTTGGTGTCACGGTCCTGAGGGCGGTGTTTTGGCAGAGTTGTAGCTTCCCCCCGGCGCCCAGATCGGTGCAGCGTAGTTAACGGCCGGACGATCAAATGAATTGTAGTTTGCCAGCAACATTTGTTTGTCTTTTCCCCAGGTGATGCCGGCTAACGGTTTCGTATGAAGAGTGAGTAACTTGTAGTTTATAGTCGAAAAATTTTAATTCATCTATTTTCACGACGAGTTCAAGTCTGTCTGCCCTCCTCCATGCGGTGCAGAGGATAGCTGAAGATTTTGCTGGTTGTAGTCTTAATTGTCTTGCAGTGTAGAGGGGTGGGAAAGGTCGTCGAGATAACAGTTCACTTTCGAATATAAGTCATCAATATTCTGGCCAGACGCCAATATCGAACAATTATCTGCATATGAGTTTAGCGAAACCCCTCCAGTTTCGAAACCAAAAAGTTAAACAACATTGGGGAGAGGAGACCATTCAGTGCAACTCCTTGCTTAATCTTTCTGAGTTTCAATGTTTGACCTCGATACCGATGATTGACGGCCACTTAGGGAGTCCATGGCCCGATAGTAGCCCTGACTGTTTGCCCTTGTGAAAAGCTGTTGATAGATGAAGTACTTTTGGTACAGTTCGCGCGCAGGACTGGTTCTGGTTGGCATAGTAGATTGTACCTGCTTCTCGTAACTGAAAACATGCCTTTTTTTTTTGTTTACAGAATCCCAAGTCTCTCGTTTGTAGATGCTTTGTTGATGCATTTTTTTTTATTCACAACCTCATACTTGAACAAATCGGTCGTATATGTATTATGGTGATCTGATCCGGTTCCGACAAATGATCAAGATAGTATTAAAATACATCTGTTTACCAAGTTTCGTTGAAATATCTCAAAAACTGAGGAACTACAGACGGACAGATGGGTGAACTTTTTCGCGACCTTAGGTCACATCATCTCGTTACTGATAATTCTAATTTCGAAACTCGGCGGTCTTTTTTTTATTAGGTTCATTAATATTTTGTTCCCGGAGCAAACAACAACACTATTTCAACGAAAATTGGAAAATCCCGCAATTTGGAGCACCGCGCTGTGAGATGTCATCAGTTCTTCAGGACTCTGCTCATCATACACTGCTGTTTCAACGAGGAGGAAAGACCTTTGAAGATGATTCCCACCCGGAGCGTCCAATAGCAGTCGTGACCGCAGAACATTTTCAGAATGCCAAAAACTAGCACTGGCTGATCGAAGGAATAATGGCAGATAGCAGAAGGACTACAGATTAGCAAAGAATGAGCTGGAGAGATTTTGCATGAATATGAAAAAAAATAGTGTGCGACTATTTGGAGTTGTGCCAAGATGACTCGGATGAAATTTGTAATCGGATTGTAACAGTTGATGAAACTTTGATTCGTCAGTCTAATTCCGAGTACAAACAGAAGTCGATGCAGTGGATAAATAAAGTTCAAAAATCAAAGTGGAAAAGTAGGCGTCGAAGCTTATGGCTATCATTTCCTAAGAGGGAGGGAATATTATTAATTAATTACTTGCCAAAGGGAACTACAATTAAATCCCGCTAGTGCTGTTGGTGAATTTTTTTTAAACTTAATAAAAACATTTACAGTGCGAAATGAAAGTAATTATATGTTTACCTTGGTGTTGGTAAGGTGTCCAGCTGCACTGTGCAATAAACCCCACTTTTCTATCACGCCCGGTAGCGGATCTGTGGGCGAAAAACCGATTGTGCACTTTTTAACACTTTTTTTAAACATAAAAGAACGTATACATTATTAGTGGGAAATAACGTTAAATATACCGTCGGATAAGTAGAAAGTCCAGCTACACTGTGCCACAAACCCCAAAAACTGAGAAAAACCGATTTTCCGCATTTCTGCGTTTTTTTGAAACATTTTAAAGTCTATATACCATAGACGCCGATCAGAATGATATGCATTATCGTTGGATAGGTAGAGAGCCAGGCTACACTATGCAACAAACCGCATTCTTTTAACACATCTGGTTACCGCTTGGTTGGTGAGGGATTTACGGAAACTCCATCCTGTTGCCTATTTTCAAGGTTAAAATAGGAGTTACGGCGATGAAGAAATCCAGATGACAGTGAGTTGAAAGCGGCATTTTGAAGAAAAATCTAAAGTATTTTTTTTCCGTGGTATAAAGGCGTTGTATTGATGATGTGACAATTGTATTTTACTTGAGGGAGACTATAGTGAAAAAGAAAATAAGAAAAAAATTTTAAATTTGTTTCGTTAAGTACTTTAGGCCGCGAAATTATCAACCGCCCCGCGTACATACCTCGGACCAATTTTAATATAATATTTCATCTGCGTGAAATTTATAAAAATTGCGGTATAGACCAAGGCACGCTTTGGAAATCAAAT